AAAAAAAAAATTTTTTTCCCAAAAAAAAAAAAAAAAAAAAAAAAGTTCTTTTCTCTTTCTGTGTATCATCAGTTAATTGCTCTACATGTCACCTGCTTTACCCAAACCAGAAACCTGAGGGTCATTCTGGACTCCCCAGTTTCCTTCAACATTTCTACTTAACCAACCACAAAGTCTTGTCATTTCTGGTCCCCTAAGAAATCTAAAATTAGCACACATACACCTCTTCATGCCCAGGGCCACTGCCTTAGTTGTAGCTTCATCTTTCTCCTCTGAACAAATTCAACAAGCAGTCTCCTAACTGATAACTTGCCTTCACTCTTGGAATCCTCTAAAATGATAACATTTTACTGCTTAAAATCATTCAACAGCTTCTCTTCATCTTCAGGATAAAGTCCAAATTCGCTACTATAGCACAGAACGTCTTCTGTGATCCTGTTTCTGCTTTTGTCTCCAGTCACTCCATGAAACTCAACTTACAAGCCAATCATATTCAACAACTGCCTGCATTCCTAAACAAACCTTATTCTGCAAGCACATAATGCCTACCATAATACTAGATTTCCAGGGAGCATTTCCTGATCTTGCTACCACCAAGTTTATTTCTGCATCTGTTCTCTAGAAGTCCAGAGCACCTTGCCCATATCCTTTGACAGCAGTTTTCACAGTCTGGTCATCACAGGTTTATCTCTGTAGGTTCACTATGGGTCTGGAAGGTACAACTGTGTCCTACCAATCTTGACTCCCTAGCTCAGTGTTTCCCAATTTTTTTATTCACATTCTCCGAAGCAGAAAACTTTGCCAAATCACCTACCACCTGTACTGTTATTTGATATTTTTCTTTAAAATAACTCAACTTTTACCAAGAAATTTTACCTGTGGTAGGATAGAATTCTTTTCTAATACAAACTAAACATACTAATAAAATTAAATATTAAAGTAAATGACTTCTAATCCCATCAGTTATAAACTAATGGGGGGGCTCTATCACTGCAAAAAAAAAGTGGGTCCTAGTTTTAAAATGTATTAAATTTTGCTGAGTTCGTAGAAATAGGGAACATTCAAAGCCACCCTTTCCCCACAAAAGCAACAAACCTCTTGCTAGAACTAAACCTGTGGTCAAGAGCTACATGTAGTAATGCCAAGAGCAGTAGTTGAATCAGGACGCACTGAGCACTGGACCAGAAGCAAAGTGAGGGAACTGAAAGTGGTCCCACGAAAACTCCTTGACTCCAGCCCAAGCTGATCCAAGCCCTGACCTCAGCCAAAGCTGATCCAAATCCTAACATAAGGAAAGTAGTCTCCTATCAGACTCTCAAGATTCCCAGAGAAAGATCAGATAGAAGTTCATAACCAAAGATCACCAGGCACAGGAGGTGACAATCCACCACGGGGGAGACGCAACAGAAAAAACAAAGAATAAATTCAGACCCCTAAGTACATCAGACATTGGGATTGCCAGATACAGTCTACAGAATATCCACGGATTCAAAAAATGGAACAAGCTACATTAGA